TACCCATTACAGCTTATTATCATTACCCATTACAGCTCATCACCAGTTACCCATTACAGCTCATCACCAGTTACCCATTACAGCTCATCATCAGTTACCCATTACAGCTCATCATCAGTTACCCATTACAGCTCATCATCAGTTACTGATGATGAGCTGTAATGGGTAACTGATGATGAGGTAATGGGTAACTGATGATGTTGACCAGTGAAACTGGTCAACAGATTCTATCTGTTGACCAGTGAAACTGGTCAACAGATAGAATCTGTATACCATTTAAGGCTTTGTCTAGGAGGCCTACTACAAGACAGTAGCTGGATGCATTTAGCCTCTGCCCAAGATGAGTATTTTTATCAAGATATCTAGCTTTTACTTAACCAAGAGCTTTAAGACAGGGAGTGTATTGAGCCAGAGTTGACTTCTTGAAGCCTTTGCCTTTAAAAGACTATCCTACAAAGCAGCAGGACTTAAAGCAGATGGGTTACAAGAAACAGGTTTTACTAATTGCACAAAACTTAATGATAGATTTGAACAACACAAAATATTAATGTTAAACAACTATCAAAATAAAATAAGACTCAGTTTTTTGATCAGAATATTCCACAAGTGTTCAATAGTATTGAAATAAGGACTTGGAGCCTTGTTACTAAAATTCCATCTTTAAAGATAAACTCCAGCTTTCAATAATCTCCAGCTTTCCTGTTTATTGTATAGGGTAATACTTAACTTAAACTTTTATGCTTTAATGCTTTCAATTGCCATGGATGATTTAAAAAAAAAAGATGTTTCAGTTTCAGTTATATTTTTTTTAAAGAAAGAAAAATAAAATAAAAAATAAAAAATTGATGCAATAAAAACTAGTTCATTTTTTAAACCAAATAAAAGAGATCCAGGGTTTAAAACGAGCTCTGGACATATTTTGGACCATCAGTAAGGTGAGGAAGCATGAACTTCCTAGTTAAATGTTTTAATATGGTGCTCTGTGTGCTCTGTGAAAGACAACAGCAAATTGTTATAAAAAGGCGACAATTAGTAAAAGTTAATAATGAAAATATAGTTAGGCTTACCTTTAAAAGCTTCAAATCTGTCAGGATTTTACTTGTTGTCAAGGTAAACAACCAAAGAATGTATAGCAAAGTGAACAGAGACTGATTTAGGAGTGATTTACGCAAGTGTATATACCTTTGTCAAAAAGAGGTGGTTGTACCATAGAGTTGCAATATGAATCAAATCAAGAAGTTTTGGGATTAGCTCTTTAGTAAAGTCTAAGAAAGCTTGAGGAAAAGTCTGAGAAAGAACAAGAACACTTGATAAGTTATGGTCATAGATCAAGACAGAATGGAAGGCTCTTTCCCATATTACAATTGATCGTACTATGTTAAAGAAAATAAATGTTGAAATCTTTTTAAATTTTAGCAATCTTTCCTTACTTATTGAAGGGTTGAAGGGATATATATATATATATATATATATATATATATATATATATATGTATATATATATATATATATATATATATATATATATATATATATATATATGTATATGTATATATATATATACATATATATATATACATATATATATATATATATATATATATATATATATATATATATATATATAATATTTATTTATATAGATTTATAAAAAGGTGGCAGAATGGCATCCCTCCCCACTTTGAGCACTGTATATATATATATATATATATATATATATATATATATATATATATATATATATATATATATATATATATATATATATATGTATGTATGTATGTATGTATGTATGTATATATATATATATATATATATATATATATATATATATATATATATATATATATATATATATATATATATATATATATATATATATATATATATATATATATATATATATATATAAGAACGAAAGTATCAAATTAAATGAAAAATTGTGTTAGCTTACTGATATTTTAACCTTATTTAAATTTTAAAGTTTTTCTAAACATAAAAGCAAACAACTATGTTATTTAATTGATAACTACTAATTTAATTAATATCTATGATAATAATTGAACTCCTTGGAATGAAAACCTCAAATGTCCACTTTTTTGCAAATCAGATTTATGTTATTTTTTGGTTGCCTATATATAGGTCCATGTCATGAATTTGTTGAATGTTTCTTTAAAAATTATATCCTTTAAATTGACTGTCAAAAAAAAGGTACTTTTGAAAAACATCAATAGTTTAAATGCTCTTTTGAAAAAAAATTCTTTGCCACATTTGAAGTTTTCATTCCAAGGTCTTCAATTATAAGTATTTTTTATATTTAAATATTAAAAGTTTATAATAATTAGATTGCTTCTTAAGGTTATGGGACTAACTGATTCTATCCATTGGACAGCATGGTTTATCACAACTTTAGTTTGCATTACTTTATCTTCATTTGCACTCACTTTTCTACTTAAAGTTGGAAGAATTCTCAGTCAATCTGATGTATCTCTTGTTTTATTTGTAACAATGGTTTACACTGTTTCACTTATTTCAATGGCTTTTTTTGTCAGTATATTTTTTTTAAAGACAAATATGGCTGCTGCATGTGGTGGTTTAATTTATTTTTTTACTTTTACTCCTTTTGTTTTTATTGGATATATGTCTTTTGGTGAAATACCATTTATTCTTCAATGTTTTATGGTATGTTTTATTATTAAATTTCTTAACTGAATAATTTAATGAAATGTTAAATAAATATTTGAATATTTGGTTTAAAATCATTAATTAACATAACTAAGTAACTTGAATGTTGTTTTTATAAAACACTTTTTTGATTTAGTCATTGTTTCCAACTTCTGCTTTTTCATATGCTTTTAAATATATCTTTATTTGGGAAGACCAGGGTATTGGTGCTCGTTGGTCAAACTTCTATTCAAGCCCATTTCAAAATGATGCTTTTAGTATTGGTTGGATTGTAAATTTCCTGATTCTTGATTTTTTTTTGTATTTGGTATTAACCATTTACTTTTTGCAAATCTTACCAGGTATATTTTGTTTTGACACCTTTTTTTAAAGTTTATGATTTTTTTTTAATGTTCTGTAGTTCCACATATGTGTGGTTAGTTTTTGTATGGTTACTACTAGAATGAATTTGTATGGTTACTACTAGAATGAATAACTTTTATGGTTTACAATCTCCTCTTCATAATGATGATGATGATAATGATAATGATGATTGTTCATTTAATAGGAGAGCGAGGAAAATCCATGGCTTGGTATTTTTGTTTTACTAAATTGTTTTGGTTTCATAGCTATACTGAAATAAAAAAGAAGTCTTTTGGATTAAGAAATGGTTATATTAAAATAAAGAATTTACCAGATGTAAGATTTGAATTTTTATTTTTGTTTTTGAATCATTTGAAAACAATTACGTAAATAATATGATAATATAACCATGATCGGTTGAAATTTGAACAATTTTTAATTTAGTTTTCTCAAAAACCACTAAATCAATTGCAATGATTTTTTTATAATGATGCTTACATAATTAGTTTTTATTTCAAAACAATAAATTATTTCTTAACTTTACAATGTGGAAGTAATATAATTTTTTGTAAAGTACCTGCCATCATCTCCTTAGTTTTACTTTGTGTCACTTTTTTTTGTAGCATTAATCCATATATCTCTGAAATTTTTAACACAGTTTGCACATTTGTCTCTTATCCTCAATATTTCCTTCACAATTATCCAGTAAGATTTGATAACTCCCTGCTCAGGACAGTTTGGCGGATTAGCATCCTTTAAAAAAAAAGGATGCTAATCGACCAGGATTCAATTATTTTATACCACTGCATTTCTTTTTTGGAATAGTGGATCAATGCCAGATCTTGCCAAATTAAGGATGGTTGTTTGTGCTTTTAACTAGAGGAAGGCGTTTTTTATAGCATTTAGTCACATGTAGATCTCATGCGAAAGATTGATTTGTTATGAAAAGTGAGCTTTTAAAACCACTACTGCAGATAGCTTGACATATAAGAAACTTGGGAGCAAATTTTTCAACTTGTATTTAAATTTGACAGAAGCTTTGTAATGTTTCAACTGATAATAGTATTGACTACCTGGAACCATTGAGTGATCTTATTAAGTTTCATTGTCTTCTAAAATGCATAAATTTTTTTTAATAATAAATTTGAGCAAATTTTTAGCTTCTCCAATTGCATTAATTTTTCCATCAAGCAACCTTTTTTTTATCTAATGGCTTTAATTATTCCATAAAGCAACATATTTTTTTTGTTTGTATTATACTTTCAGATTTTCCTTTTTGAATACTCTTTGAACAAAAGATCCTCTATATTTAAACTTCATAGCTAAATCTTGTTGTGACTGAGTCAGATTTTGATGAATTGAGTTGATTATTGATTTTGACATTTTTTTCAAAAATAAACCATAATTTTTTACTACTTCCCAAATTTCTTTTTACAGTTTTGTTTTTCTTATAATGTTTTATAACAATCCCAACAGTTGATTGCAACTTTACATGCTTTTAAAATCATGGAATATGAGAATGATAGATTTTCTAAAATTTCAAAAAATTTTTAAATTTTAGACTCTTTACTTGACATTGCAAAAACTAATGACAGGTAAACCAAATTACACCTGCTCACAAAAAAACTAATTATGTTAGCTTGTATCTATCATGTAACATTATGTAAGTATTATTTTAAAAATCATTACAATTGATTTAGTGGTTTTTGAGAAAACTCTATTTAAAATCATCCAAATTTCAACTGATAATGGTGATATATATATATATATATATATATATATATATATATATATATATATATATGCTTTTATTTTCTAATTAGATAAAAATGAATTTTATTTTTTATACTTGAGACAAATGTGGATAACAATAAAGTTTCACTGAATAGTCATGCAGGCACTTTTGAAAGTAAAAATTTTGAAAGGGAACCAATTGAGTTGAAGGTTGGAATCGATATAGTTGATCTTGTCAAGGTAAAATTAAAAAAAAAAAAAAAAAAAAAATAAAGCTACTTTTAGTAAAATGCTATACATTAATGCATAAATATATACAATAATAATAATAATAATCATTAATATATATATATATATATATATATATATATATATATATATATATTATATATATATATATATATATCAGCACTCAGAATTTGGAAAAATGAGGTCGGCAATAAATTGCAGAATTTAAACTCTTAGGAGTTTACCATAAGGTTGGCAAAAAAAGTTTGACACAAAAGGGTCACCATAAAACATAGAAATGAGATCAGCAATTTTTTGCCAACCTCAAACACTTAGGTTGTCAGTTAGGTTGGCATTGCTGAATGCTGACCCTAATTTTGAGGGCTGATATATACTGGGTCCCTAATACTATTAAAAAAAAAGTTTTTCAAAAGTATGTCATGTAGGGTCTCAAAAGAAGCAAAATTATATAAAAATTTCAAAAGTATCAATCATTTTATAAAGAAGTATTTAAGTTATATTTAAGTTTTTTTTGGGAATTATTATCAAAAAAATACATTTCTTTCATTTTGAGTTATAAAAAGTTTTTTTTTTGCAATAACTCTAAAATAATAATTTTTTAAGAAAATGGTTATTATTTTTGAAATTTTTATATAGTTTCGCTCTTTTGAGACCCAACATGACATTTTTTTGAAAAACTTTTTTTTAATAATATTAGGGACCTGGTAAGTGTTCAAGGGTCTTGTGCTCCTCCTAAATCCAATAAAATTTTGAAAAAATTTAACAGAGTTGCTTGTGAGAACCAATAGAAAGTTTTAAAAATATGAACAGAACTTTTTTAGAATATAAGGAGCGGCTGGGACACCCTAATATATATATATATATATATATATATATATATATATATATATATATATATATATATATATATATATATATATATATATATATATATATATATATATATATATGTATAAATATATATATGTATGTATAAATATATATATATATATATATGTATATATATATATAATATATATATATATATATATATATATATATATGTATAAATATATGTATATATATATATATGTATAAATATATGTATATATATATATATATATATATATATATATATATATATATATATATATATATGTATATATATATATATATATATATATATATATATATATATATATATATATATATATATATATATATATATATATATATATATGTATAAATATATATATATATATATATATATATATATATATATATATATATATATATATATATATACATAAATATATATATATATATACACCATTTTTAAGTCTTATGGTAATAAATGGTACTTAAAGTAAGAAAGTTGGAAAAAGTTTTTAAATATTTATTGCAAAAATTTAAACATATAAGAGCATAATAAACTTCCAACATTTGACATGAATTTCTTAACTTCGACATGTGAACATATACGGTTAGGGATGGCAAAAATCTCAGGGATTTTTAATCCTGGGATTTCGGAATTGAAAAAGTTGACCCCATATCTTGAGATTGAATAGAAAATAACGCAATTTTAGAATAAGAACCATAAGAAGAACTAGCGTTTTAAGTACTCATCAAATACTTAAAAGTGATTAATTTAATTATGATATGAATAAAGTACTTCATTCATTAATGAACTCAAGTAATTTAAATTATAAAACAATACCTTAAAATGATAACGCAGTGTAAAAAAAATAAAAAAAATAAAAATAATATGAACATGCTTGGATACATGAATAATATTTATTTTTGAAAGTGCTACTCTTAAGAAATTAAAATGTCAATCATTTCATTGCTTTATTGTATTGGTTTTTTGAACAAAAATTGAGAATGCTCTTTCGAACTCCATACTTGTTTGGCCGCATACATAATATATAATCATACTTTTTTTAAAGGTGATCACATCTTAAGCTACTACTTTCAAATAACAGTTTTCTTTTTGAATTTTAAAAGTTATTTTTTACCTTAATAGTTTGTGTTGGTATCACTGCCAGCCTTTTTTCCATCACTCATTTAATTTATTCATTTTGGTTGTTTTGACATTATTCTACTCAAGTCTGCTGCTGTTATCTGCAGAGTTTAAAGACTATATCAAAATTATCATAATTTTTTTATTTTGGGTACTTGTATTTGGTAGAAAAACTTAAGGGATTTTTTATGAAGTAACCTAGCTGTGAAGATATACTAAGCTCCTTAACTGTGTTCTCAATTCTTAAATTTGGTGACTCAAAGCATCATAAAACTGTTTTCCTATTTTAGATTGTTGTTCTTTTATTTTAGCCATCATAAACTTTCATGCATTGTCAAATAAAAATAAAGTTGCTTCTTATCAACAAAGTGCTACCATAGTTGCTTTATTGAGAGTAAAAGTACTACTAAATCAGATATCATTCTACATTCTGTCTTGTTCATCTTAATTGAATCATTGATATTGGAATCCAATTCTAAATCTAAAAATGCTTTTTTAACACAATAATTTTTTAATTTTTTACTTCACTAATCAGTCTAGCATAAGCAACAAGCTGCTCCATTGAGTTTTGCAATCCATGATTAAATGGATGATCTTTCTAAACTCAATTTTTACATACTTTTGTAAATATTTTTTATTTTTATTTGGAGACCTTTTAAACATTTTTACAATTTTCCTGACGTTTTTGTTATAACCAATAATTTGATACCTAATTTTAACTTTATATGTTTCATTATTTAATAATAAATCATTTGAATCTCAAATATTCGACTCTCGATCAAAAACAATTTCTACTTAAAATAACAATAACTAAAGTTTATTTAATAAACCTTATGTATTTGAATAACTTCATCATTAAAACGGACATTAAGTAAACTTATGTATTAGGTTAACTTTATTAATTAAAAAGGTGTTTAAAAAAGTAAACTTTTGTAGTTTAGTAAACCTTCTGTTTTTTGATGAAAAACTAAACTGATGTTAAAAAAACTTTTGTAGATCACCCTCACATTGGAATTAGAATGAATTAGAAAATTCAAAATAAAAAAGTATTTCTTCTATTAAAAATGTTTGATCTTCCAATTAGCAAGTGCTAAAATTCTATTTATTTTTAATAATATATTAGTTTTAATGTTATACTATATATACATTTAGTTTTAATATTATACTATATATACATTTTTGTTTAATTGTACAAAATATGTATAATTATTTATTTATAATATGTACTATAATGTTATTATAATATTGCAGATCAGCAATAATGTTTTTAGTTTGCATTTTTGATAAAATAGGGAAAGAAAGAGAATAAAAAGAAAACATTGCAAAAAGGCTATTTGCGTGTATTATTATTGCTATTTGAGTATATTTAAAGATATTTTTGAGTGGAATTTTAATGAAGTAATTTACGATTATTTTAACATTTAAAAAAGTATTTTAAAAACCGCACGCAGTTGATATAAAAGTTTGAATTACAAAAAAATTAAATATGTTAATTATTTACAAGTAGAAAGAATTCAGATTAAAAAAAAAGTTTAAATCTTTTTAAGCTAACATTTTCATAAAATTATTTAGCAAAAGCAAAGTTGTTGATAAAATTGAACTCTTTTAGTTTTTAGAATTCTTTTAGTTTTAGATTTTTAACTTAAATAATTATTTTACGGGGGTTTGTTAGGTTTTAAAATTGTTCCATAGATTTAAAAATATTTATTAACTGTTAGATGTATTTAAAGTATTTAAGAGTAATTTCGAGGAAACATTTTAAAAATTGGTAAGCGCAAATAAAAAAAAATAAAAGGATTAATATTAAAATGTATTCTACTTGATTCAATAAAAAAGTACAGTTATTAAAATTTTTGTAAAAAGTAACTCAAAAAAAAACTACTTTAATAATAGCAATCGCTTTTTGGTAACTTTAGTTAAAAGTTACCAAAACTCAACGAAGCGTGCTCAAAAACAGCTTTTGAAAAATAGAACGTCAATAATTTGATAAGTTTATAAAACCTGGTTTTGTTACCCGGTTTCTACCGATGTAAAGCGAATTTCCACAAACACCATGAAAAAGGCTCAATAAACGTAAAAAATATAATAAAAATTAATTTGCAACCTGTAATCATAAGCCATTTCATAAAACTTAAAATATAAAGTATATCTAAATGAGGACGTGCATTAATTTTTTTCTTCAAAAAAAAAGTTGTTTTACTACTAATGCTAGTGCAAGTAGTTTGTTATATAAAAAAATTTTGTTATATATAAAAATTTATTTTACTAGAAATAAAATTCCTTGTAAACATTAAAAATCTATTCAAAACGTTCGTTAAAGTTTTTTAGTAATACGAGTGTTTGTGCTTATCAACCGCTTTATGAAAAAAAATAAAAATTAATAAAATAAAAAAATATTATATAAAATCGCTGGTAAAAATATTAGCTATTGCACAGTTTTTAATCGTACAATATTAAAATTTCCAGTTTATTACTCGCTGACTTTTTAAAAAGAAAAAATAATTATTTGAAAAATTTTAAATTACATATTTGAGAAAAAAAAATCAAATATTAGCATATTTTATAATCTTTTTTAAATGTTAAGTTATGTTTTTTATTCGTTTAGTATAGACAAAATGTGTCAAACGTTGAGAAAATAAACAAATGTTTTTACATTTTAAAAAACGAAACTTTCCAAAATATTTTTAAATAATAACATTTCTACATTAATGATTTAAAGTAGCTTTGCGGTAATTAAGTAAATTGGTGCAGTTAATGTCAATAAATATGAAAAGCAAATAAAAAGAATTTAATGACGTCAAAAATCATGTCGTGCTTATGCGTCGCGCAGTTTTTATTCATCACAAGGCCTGATATATTTTATATATATATATATATATATATATATATATATATATATATATATATATATATATATATATATATATATATATATATATATATATATATATAATATGTATATATCTTCGTCATAACGCCAGGGAGGGCGTTA